AAACAAGAAACTCATTAAAAATATTATACAAAATGGATCACCCTGAAAGACATTATAATGAGTGAAATATCTCAGTCACAAAAGGACAAATACTATAGAATGCCACTGTTATAAAATAGGACTGACATGGGGGTTGGGAGGAAACTAAGAAAAGAGGGGATAAATATTGTACACTGCATTGCAACAGATGAGGGAAAGAACTGTTTAAAAGGAATATATGATTAAGTATTACTTGTATGACAACAGTCCAGAACAAGAGGTACATAGCAAAGTGGACGGGGGATGAGCGGCAGGAGGAAATTTTGCCAAGATGAAAGATTTTTTTAAAAGAGAAAAGCAAAGTAGGGGGGTAAGGAGGAAAATGTATAACAATAAATAAATGGAAATAAAAGTTTTCTGTAAACTTTTCTTAAAAATATCCATTTTTTTTAAAAATAAAAAATACAATTTAAACACACACACAAAATAAAATGTTAGTCAGATCATGGCGGGGGTGTTTAAAAAAGAAAAAGAGGGAAAGCATTCTTACAGTGCCTCCTCTTTCTACTCAGTGAAAAGGCCACAGTGCTTGCAGGCCTTCCAGGTTCTTTCTGTTTTGATCCCTCCTTGTCTCCACATCTTTGTTCCCTCCCCTGGCCCAACAAAACTGGGCTCCTTGTTCCTCAGACAACTCAAGCATTCTCTCTCCTTGGTCCCTGTGCCACGATAAATCCACTTGACTAACTCCACTACCTCCTTCAAGTCTTGGTTCTACTCTAACCTCAAGAAGGCCCACCCCACCTATTGTCCTTAGTTCTGCAGCCCACCTGCTCACCTCACCTGCATTCCTCATGTTTCTTATGCTGTAACAAAGTCCTTACCCTCTAACGTATGATAACGTGTATCATATTAATAGTTTTGCTTTCTTTCTATCTCTTCCTGATGGATTATAGCTCCTAGTATAGTACCTTGTCCAATAGAGGTACTCGGTTAATCTTTATTGAATGAGCACATGAATCTTAAGTGGGCTATGGTGGCTGAATGGTAAAGAATTTCACTGACACACAAAGGCCCACAGTTTGAACCCACCAGCCACTCCATGGGACAGAGCTGGGCAGTCTCCTCCTGTGCAATATACAGTTTCTGAAAACCTGCTGGAGGATGAGCGCTGAGTCAATGGAGTTGCCTAAGCTGTAATATACACAAGCAGACCCTCAGGTCTTGCTCCTATGGAGGCAGCTGAATGGGTTCAGACCCACACACTTTTAGTTAGCAGTACTTAGCCGTTCATGACACCAGAGTTCCTTTTACAAAACATAGTACAGTATAATTTGCATGGTAGATGCTCAGAAATTATTTGGTGAATTGCTGAAAAAATAATATGCTAAATAATTTTTTTACATTATAGGAAGCTTTGGTTTTATATGCCCTTTATTTCTCTCTTGCTTGTAGATGAAAACATGATAGTATCTATAATATTTTTAATACATCTATGGCTCCACGGTCAACACTCTTGGCACCAGTAGCCAGGAAATCAAAAAACGTGTTGCGATGGGAAAGTCTGCAGTCAGGGACCTCTCCAAAATACTCAAGAGCAACAGTGTCTCTCTGGAGACTAAGGTCCGCCTGATACAGGCCATGGTTTTTGCAATCACTTGTTATGCATCAGAGAGTTGGACAATGACTAGGGAGGAGAGAAGGAGAATTGATGCCTTTGAGCTGTGGTGCTGGAGAAGAGTATTGAATGTACCCTGGACTGCCAAGAAAACAAACAGATTCATCCTGGAGAGGATTAAACCAAGCAACTCCTTGGAGTCAAGGATTCTGGAGCATCATCTGACATACTTTGGGCATGTTGTCAGGAGGGACGGGTCCTTGGAGAGGGACATCATGCTTGGGAGGGTGGAGGGACGGCGCTGGAGGTGAAGGCCCTCTATGAGGTGGATTGATTCAGTGACTGGGGTAATCGGGATGGGAGTGTCAGAGACAGTGCGATTGGCACAGGATAGAGCAGGGTTTAGGGCTGTTGTACATAGGGTCACTATGATTCGCAAGCAACTTGACGGCACATAACAACAACAACAACATGGTGTTTATGACTAGCTATCATCTTTTTTATAAATCAGATATAAAAATTATAATTGTAGTTGTATTGTAAGTGAAATTTGTATCTAGTCAGTAGGAATTGGGGATGGAGTTTCATGCACTTTCTCTCAATATGAGCCCAATTTCTGGTTCTCTTCGGTTGTGTCTTCCCGCATCCTCCTCAACCCTATCCCCAAAGTAAAAATCAGTGTTGCTTACATATTTGAAAGGAGGGGGGGGATCAAATTATAAAACCCTAAAGGTCTATAATTGCCATATATCTGTGCCCTTTGAAACCCCAAAGCCAAATGAAGTGTTACCAGCTGCTAACGATTCCTTTCAGACAGAGGTTTTCTTTTAAAAGCCTGACCATACTACTCAGGGCTCAGCTATTATCGAAAGTACTGGTACTTGTACTGGAGCCCAGACGATTCCCCCAGAGGATGTCTTAAACAAAGAAATTCTGTACAAAATGTCACTGACTTTAGGGAATGGAAGCACCATAGAGTTCATTGTGCCTCCAGAAATAATTTTAAAAAGGAGGGCTTGTTAAGCTAAATCTCTACACAAAGAATCATTGAAAAGAAGTTAAGCATGCTAGTCAGTACAACTCTTCTATGTGTGTCTACTTTGTCACTCAAATGAGCATTTAACTTTGGTTAAGTACAATTCTCATTTTAGCAGCAAAGAAATAGTATATCGCGTTTTGTGGATTTCCTGTTTTCTATAGCTGGGAGTCAACTCCCACGTTTTGCTGCCAAGAGAACAAACAGTTAGGTCTTGAACAAAGTGCAGCCAGATAGCTCCTTGGAGGCAACGATGTTGAAGCTTCATCTCACATACTTGAAGCATGTTGTTAGAAGGGTCTATTCTCTGGAGAGAGACATTATGTTTGGAAAGGAAGAGGGTCAATAAAAGAGAGAAAGACCCTTAACCAGGCAGATTAATAGTGACCACCACAGTGGGCTCTAGTGAGTCACGAAGTGTAAATGTGGCACAGGATAGGACAGAATTCAGATCTGTTGTTTTTAGGGTTGCTATGGGTTGTATTCCACTCGAGGAAACCTAACAGCTCTAGGGGGAAGTCAGCAATTGAGGCTCTCTCTCTGAGTGAGAAGAAATGATCTGCTATCCCTGCTAAGCCTGGCTGAGTCACCCACACGCCTGCTTTCTGCCTGTTATGCTATAGCCCGCCTCTGTGTGCAGTCCAGCATCTCCTTTAATGTTCCAGAGGTGTTTTGGTTTTTCCCTATTACAAAGACCACACTCTTGAGCCTTTCTTGTTTCTATAACCAACCACTCTTACCACAACCTTTCCTCCTACCCAATATTGGATACCACTTGCCTTTCTCCATACTCCTTGTAGGAACTCTACAAGGTAAGGCCAAAGCCTTTCTATAATGCCACTATGGCACAGTGTAACACCTAGTACAATACCTGGCACATAAAACTCACTCAAGAACTGATGAACCATTTGTTATGGAAAAAGAAAATGAAATAATTTTCACCTTGGTAATAGGTAGCCTTGGTAGGTAAAAGAATTATTTGACTCTGGGAACTGCAGGAGAAGGCTTTTTCACACCCAGCTATAAGTATCATACCCAACATGTGTGATAACTAGTTAGACTTTTATGTTTTAACACTTGCCTTCATTATTTTGGAACTAGATAATGAATTCATTATAAATATATATACATTTTACATTTTTATTAGTGCTGTGTAAACTGTTTATAAAATCTGTATCAGATTTGTCGAAGAACATACGTTTTTAATTCCTGGAAATTTTTCAGAAGCATGTGCACCACCAGAAAGGCAGAAGCCTTCACAAACGTAGAGCAATGGTGGTAACCTGGATGCAGGCAGACGGGAGGGCGTATGGGGGAGGCCATATCTCTTACAGATAGCAAGGGTACCTATCTGTTACTAGGGTGAAAATCACTCTCGTTATTTTGGTCAATGAATCATTCCACCTTCTATCCACAACAAATGGTTCATTATTGATTACTAAGCAAGTAACATGTGCTAGAAATTATGCTACACTCAGGTAAAAAGAGAGAAACACCAGGAGCTAGGAACTCTGCTCTCATAAATGACATACACTCAAGCTTTACATGCACCTAAGGAAGCGCCAAGGCTTCCATTTTAAATTCTATTTCTTGATTTTCTTTGAAACCATGTGACTTAAATTGCTTATCACAAACCCTAAGCATTCTTTTTTCTTGTATCACTGGAAAACAGTATTTATAAAATGAAATTTCATATACTGAAGATACAAAATCTGATTATAAAAAGTATCAATGCAGTAAACAATAACCTTACAAAAACATTAAAAACAAGGAGCTCTGGTGGCCTCCTGGCAAGAAGCTGCACTGCAATCCCAAAGGCATGTGGTTCGAATCCACTAGATGCTCTGCTGGAGGAGGGGCAGTCTCCTCCTGTGACAGTCGGATCTGACTCGACGGCACACAACAAAAGGAGAAAAAAAATAAGAAACCATAAATTTGTTTAAAACCACATTAAAAATAAGTAATTTAGCCATTTTATCATTTCTTTATAGACCAATTCTGTTATTAAAAATGGTTTTTGAAGGGGAGCTCTGGTGGCCTAGTGGCAAGGAGCTGCAACTACAATCCCAGAGGCGCATGATTCAAATCCACCAGATGCTCTGCCGGGGAAGGAGAGACAGTCTCCTCCTGTACCAGTCAGATGTGATTTGACGGTACACTCACACAAAAATAATAAAATTTAATTAAAAAAAATGGTTTTTGGGAGAAAAACTATTTCAGATCAGATAAAAACTGTATCTGACATGAGGAAATTTTCAGATCCCATCAATTTTTCCTCTACTATTTTTTGGGGGGGGAATTCTGTTTTTATTTATAGTGGGTTTGTTTGTTTTTCAATCTCTTCTCACATTTTGCTTTTCCCTCATTCAGGGAAACGTTTATATGTACTACAAGCTATATGGCTTCTATCAGAACCTCCATCGATATATTCGATCCAGAAGTGACAGCCAACTTCTAGGTGAAAATATAAAGGTAAGACATTATTTAATTTATTATAAATTTAAGAACTCAAGTAGATATACCCATCTGAAACAGATGGAAAATAAACTCAAAAGTTAATATTTTAGAACATGTAAAGCCTTATTTCATTCTTGTTAGAACCAAAGAGGCTAGGCATTCATGATAACTAATTAAGAAGCTCATTTCTCGTTTAGAATAGTAATGGGAATTTTATCTAGCTAAAGAGTTTTCTTCTTTAAAAATATTTATTGCGCTTTAAGTGAAATTGATTTTCCATTTGATTGTCCATACCCATTTTGTTTTGTAACAGTAATATGACCCTCATATCTTTTTAAATTTTATTATTTTGTGTGTGCGCCATCAAATCAGATCTGGCTGGTACAGGAAAAGATTGCCTCTCCTTCTCCAGCAGAGCATCTGGTGGATTCCAACTACATACCTCTGGGATTGCAGTGCAGCCTCTTTCCACTAGGCCACCAGAGCTCCCTGATCCTCATATCTTAACGGCCCTTTTTTCTGCTTCCTCCCCAAAGTTCTAATTTCTGTCCATCCTTCTGGTCTAACTCTTCCTGCCTCTAACCTTTGTTCCTAGAAAAATGCTACCCTTTTGATTTAGGGTTGATCTCGGGGTTGAGCACCTCCTCCAGTATTATTGCTCTCCTTATGGGCCTGCTTATTGCTTGGCTTAAAGTTGAGCGGCAGGGGGAAATTTAGTTCTTCAAAACGGTTCTAAGGCCTATAGTCCTGGGGTTTCATCGGTCTATATTACACCAGCAAGCCTGGCTATCTTTATGGTTCTGAGTTTCATTCCACAGTTTTCTCCCATTTTGTCTCAGACTCTCTGCCGGGATCCTTTCTAGCGTGGCCAGCATCAGTGTCTAAGCACCGTCCCATTCTGGTCTCAAAGTCATGGAGTTCAATAGTTTGTTAGTCCTTCTGTGTGCCTTTGATTTTCTTCACTCTTCTTTGCTCCAGACAAGTAGAGACTAGTAAGGCTGCTTGCAAGGTTTTAAGACTCCAGTCACTACTCATGAAAGCAAGATAAAGAGTATTGCTTTTGTGGATATATTTATATCAACTGGCCTTGAGGTCCCCTGAGACTATGATACTGAGGCCCTACTACAAGTGTTTTCAGGGTGTTTGATCCATGTTCGTAGGATATATGATCTATATATGATCACGGGTTAGCATTAAGAAGTTTGTATCCCTTCGGCTCAAATATGCATGTAGAAATATTGTCTGACAAACCCACGGGTCTAGTCCTTTGCACCTACCCGTATCTGCTCATCTTTCCTGTCTCCCTATATGTTTGCTTGTAGATTAATGTTTGTTATGACTAACATTATAGAGCACTGGTGGCAGAGCCTGTAAGGAGTTGTGCTGCTACACCGAAGGTGGGGCCTCTCTGGCAGTTCTCCTCCACCTGTGGCACCTTGACAGAAAGATAGGCCATCTCCTCCCATGCAAGTTACAGCCTCCTGAACACCTGCTGGAGGGTCAGTGATGAGTTGGTTCAGACCAGACAGCAATGAGTTTGATTGATATTTTATTTGATTGATATTAGTTGCTATTGCAGGACTGTGTATGTAATTACAGTTTACTATCTGTATCTCTTGTACACCTTCCCAAATCTTGTCTCTCTTTAGTGACATTGTACTCATCATCATCACCTTATTATGTGTTGCCTTTTCCTTCATCCACCTTAATATGTGCCTATTATCTAGTTATTGAATTTTTTCTCTCCTTCCCATCTGTATGATAGTCATCAAAGAATATTTCTATTCTATGTGTAAATTTTTTCCTTAGCTTTTTAGTAGTAGACTCATGCATCAAAAGCCTCAAAAGAGAAGTATTGGCACAGTGACTATAAAAATAGAATCAAGTGTGACAGGGATGATGAAGATGGCACAGGGCACAGGGCAGGGTTCAGATCTGTTGTTCATAGGGTCACTAGGCGTTATAGTTGACTTGATGGCACCTAATAACTACAACAGCCAGTTTAAGAAAATGAGGCTTTATTTTATTAATAAGTCTTTGGTTTAATTGAATACCCTTTTAAGCCTCAAATTATAAAATTTTACTCTTTTCCATATGCACTTAGATTCAATTCTTATTTGTTAAGCTTTTTCCAGGTGCCAGGCAATATAGTACATGCCAGGGTTATTTTCTTATCACCGTTTTTTGTTGATGTTGTATATGGTCAGGTGGATTCCAATTCATAGGGAACCTATAAGACACAGTAGAACTGCCCCATAGGGTTTTCTTGGCTGAAAACCTTACAGAAGAAAATTTCCAGTCCTTTTCTCACACAGAACTACTGGTGAGTTTGAACTACTGAACTTTCAGTTAGCAGTTGAGCATTGTACCACCAGAGTTCTTTGAACTTTTACTCTTGGTAAATGGTATTCAACAGGCCATCAAGAAAAGCAGCAAAGAAACCTTTTAATTTTTAGCAACTCCTCTTTTTAAAAAAATTAAATAAAATTTTTATTTTATACTAGTTTACTTACAAAGTTCATATATGCTGTTTTTCACACTGGATCGTTCCCATTTCTTTTACCCATCTCTCTCTCCACCCATCGAATTGTGCAACTCTATGATTAACCACCCTCCCCACCTCCGCACATCCTCACCCCTCTGCTCCCACCCTCCCCACCTTGGATCCTCATACACTTTCTACAATAATGGTCTTACACAGTATTTGTCTTTATGGGACTGAGTTAGTTCACTTAGCACAATGCAGCTCCTCTTTAAAAATTATTTTGTGGTAATTGCTTTGATGGATTCACTGTGATAAGTAATTTAGCCATATACTAACAATTTGTTAACTTTTCTAAATTTAAGTGATATTTTCATTTTTAAAAAATGTATTCCAGTGTAACATAACTTGGTGTGATATGGGAACAGCCAGACAAGGATTAAAGTCATTTCCTCTAGACATATTTTACATGCCATATTTTGATTGTTGTTAGGTTGCTGTGAAGATTCTGACTCATAGTAACACCATGAGGGCAGAAAGATACACACACCTAAAAATAAACAAACAAACAAAAAAGATAGATAGATAGATAGACAGAAAGACAGACAAACAAACCTACTGTAAATGAGGTAGATGCCTGGGAAAAGCAGGCAATTATCACACTCTGTTGCATACCAGTAAATCATTGTGGGTTGACTTACTTGCCCATATTCTCTCTTGCTCAGTTCCACAATCAACACTCTTGGTACCACCAGTCAGAAAATGAAAATAATAGTTACATTAGGAAAGTCTGTTGTTGGGGACCTCTCCAACACCGGTGTCAGTCTAGAGACTAAGGTGCAACTGATCCAGGCCATGGTCTTCGCAATTTTTTGCTCCGCAAAATTTTGTTATTTATTGTCCAGAGAGCTGGACAATGACTAAAGATGACAGAAGAAGAATCAATGCTTTTGCATTGTGGTGCTGGAGAAGAGTATTGATCACACCATGGACTGCCAAGAGAACAAGTTTGTCCTTAAAGGTACAAATTTTGAGCCTCCATCTCACATGATTTAGATGTGTGTCCTTGGAGAAGGGCATCATGCTTGGAAGGGTGGAGGGACAGTGCAGGAAAGGAATACCCCAGATGAGATGAATTGATACAGTAACTGAGATTATGGCGGTAGATGTGTTCGAGACAGTGAGATTGGCTTAAATTAGGGCAGGGTTCAGAGCTATTGTGCACAGGGTTATTATGAGTTTTAGTTGATTCAATGGAAAATAACAACAAGCAATAACGACATTCACACTTTCATCATTCAAAGACTGATTACACATTCACTTCTCATTGCTTTATCATTTTGCACCCCAGGATGTTGAGAACTGCCGTCTATTTGAGAAGTCCCACAATGGGACCCCCATCGCACCTTGTGGTGCTATTGCCAACAGCATGTTCAATGGTAGGTGATTTCCTCATCCTAAAGTGTTCCTTCCCTTCAGTAAGTATGTGACCAGCACAAATGTTCAGATTATTACCTCTGCCCTGAGGGGCATTGTTCTTGTTTCGTGTTCTCCTAATATGGGCCTTAAGTTGACTGACTTAAGGCATTTTGTTTGCATACAAGACCTTCTTTCCTGAAGGATTAGTCAGGGAACATGAATTAGATGGAGCTTAAGAGTATTTTTCAATAATTGGATCAACCTTTGCAAGAAAAAGAATGGCCCTTATAGTATTAGCATCTATGGCATGTAGGTGTGTTGAGAGTCTGCTTAGGCCCTAATTTCTTTTTCTACTGTGTCTCACTCTACTTTCTTAAAAGTAGCAAAAATTACTTTTATCTCTGACTAAAACAATGTTTTTAATTTCCTTATAGATACCATTATTCTTTCATACAAACTTAACTCATCTGTACACATTAAAGTCCCAATGCTAAGGAATGGAATTACATGGTGGACAGATAAACATGTCAAGTTTAAGAATCCAAGTTCCAAGAATCTTTCTAATGCATTTGCAGGTGAGATCCATCCACAAGCTCAGTATTTTCATTAGTTCACAAGGACACATTTATTTTTTTTAACTGCCTGGAGATATTTATGATTCCTCCCTCTTTAATCCCTTGTTGAACTCATTTTTGCTTTGACTTTCCCTGCTCTTTGGGAACTTCCTCCACATACTTACCAGAAATGTAAAATTATTGATGTCCTGAGTCCTTCCAGTCTATTATTAAGAAAAAGAGAATATTTTAAGACACATGCTGTTTCATCTAAAATTAGAATGTTGTTGTTGTTGTTTAATGCCGTCGAGTCGTAGATGACTCATAGAGACCCTATGAACGAACGGCCTGAGCACTGTTCGTACATAGAGTTTCCAGAGGCAAGCCATTTTGGAAGTGGATGCCGCTCCTGCTTCCAGGATTGATTTAGTCGGGAAGCTCCAGCCAACACTGTCCACCATGGGTGTCCATTACCACGATTGGCACATCACTGTCACAGGCTTCAGCATCACAGCAACCACGTGTTACCTCTGTACAGCAACGCACAGACCAGTGCTATACAACCTAGAAGAATGTTTGACAGGAAGACAATTAGAATAACCAGATGATTTATTGACAAACATAGTACAATTTTAACAGTGAAAAGGAGTTAAAAGAAATACATATTTCAAAAATTTTCTTACCAACAAATTGACATTATTATATTGAAATAAGTTGAAAATCATTATATCTAATCTTAGTAAGAATGAGAATCCTAGAACACTTGTTTGTGCTTATGCAAAATCTATACTTAGACCAGGAAGTAGTCATCAGAACAGAGAAAGGAAATACTGCATGATTCAAAATCAGAAAAGGTGTATGTCAGAAATGCATCTTGTCAACATACCTTTTCAATCTATATGTAGAACAGACCATTCAGAAGGCTGAACTTTATGAGAAGGAATGTGGCATCAAGATTGGAGGAAGATTCATCAACAGGCTGTGCTATGCTGATAACACAACCTTATTTACTGGTATTGAGGAGAACCTGAGGCGTTTGCTACAGAAGGTCAAGGACTGCAGTCATCAATATGGATTGAAGCTCAATATCAGGAAAACGAAGATTTCCACAGCTAGGCCAATTGGCAGGTTTATGATAGATGGAGAAGAGATTGAGATTGTTAACAGCTTCAGCTTGCTTGGTTCAATAACCAACACTCATGGCACCAGCAGTCAGGAAATAAAAGATTAATTGCTCTGGGAATATATGCTGTTAGGAACCTCTCTAGAGTGCTGAAGAGTAACAATGTCAGTCTAGAGGCTAAAGTGCTCTTGATCCAAGTCATGGTCTTTGTAATTACATATTGTACATCAGAGAGCTGGAGAATGATTAAGGAAGACGGAAGAAGAACTGATGTCTTTGAATTGTGGTACTGGAGAAGAGCACTGAACATATCGTTGACTGCCAAGAGAACAAACAGGTCTGTCCCAGAGAGATTAAAACCAAACTCCATCTTACATACTTTGGGCATGTAGCAGGAGGCTGTGGTGCTGGACAAGAGTATTGAGCAGATCATGGGCTGCTAAGAGAACAAAAAGGTCTGTATTGGAAAGGCTGAAAGCAGACTTCTCCTTGGAGACAAGGATTTTCAAGCTCATTGCAGGCAACTCAATGGCACATAACAACACAACGATTTTTCAGCGTCTCTTATGTACTTCATATAGTTGAAAGCATAACATGCATATAAGTTCACATTTTTCTTTTTTCATCTTGATGAAATATACCTCGAGGCACTTCCCTGTGAGTTTCTTATAACTTTAATGGTTTCATGCTCAGGTAGTTCACACACATGCACACACACCACTCACACACAGAGGGGCTTTGCTTGGTTGCTTTTTTTTTTTAACATCTGATTTCTTTTTGCCCTGCTTCAGGCGTGCAGAAGTTCTTTGATTCTAAAGAAAACAGAAGGCAACCACTTCTCAACCATATGCCTCACTCTTTCCTCACAGGAACCACAAAGCCCCCATCCTGGCCTAGGCCCATCTATGAGCTGGATGAAGAGGACCCAGGAAACAATGGCTTCATCAATGATGACTTCATTGTATGGATGAGGACAGCAGCCTTTCCCACCTTCAAAAAGCTGTACCGTCGTCTCAATCGAATACAGTATTTCACTGAAGGCTTGCCTGCTGGTAATTACAGTTTCAACATAACCTACAGTATCCTTTTACACTGCTTTTCCTTCTGGAGGTAAAAGAAAACAGGTGTCCTTTTGGGTAATGATTATTGAATTATTTTATTCTATGGTTTTGACGTTTCCCCATCAAATATGTATACAAAAGAAGAAATTCACAGTCCAATTATAGGTAATATTGTTGTTTAATTACCTGTTTGCCTCCACTTTATGTAGTAAAACGTTAATGGTAGTATAGTGTATTTGAGTGTGGATAAATAGGAGAAAACTGTGTTCCCCAAGAAAGATTATGTAACACTGGGTTGTCCATCTAAAAGTGAAGAGAAGGATGCTGTATAGAATTGGTTAAAATGAAGTACTGTTGGGAGAAAGGATATGAGGAATTAGAACTTGGAATATGGACTAAAAATCATAAACAATTATAGAAACTTTTCAATTCTAGCAAAAATGTGACAGACCAGAGAGTATCTGGATGATGCAAATGTTTAACACATTTGGCTGCTAAACAAAAGGCTAGAGATTCAAGTCCACGTGGTGATCTACTTCCCCAAAAATCAGTCGTTGAAAACCCTTTGACATATACTGCTGTTGTTGATTGCCTTCGAGTCGAGTACGACTCATAGCAACACTAAGAACAAAAGGCCTGAAGCCTCTCTACAACTATTGACATTTATCGAAGTTGATAGAGTTTCTGGAAGCATGTTGTTTAGGAGGTGGATGCCACTCCTGCTTCCAAGCCTGTCATAGTATATTATTGCTGTTATGTGCCATTTAGTCACCTACGATGTGTAGCAACACTATGTACAGCAGCTCTGAACCCTTCCTGTCCTGAGCCAGTCTCACTAATTCTGACACATCAACCCCATTGCCCCAGTCACTGTATCAATCCATCTCATCCAGGGTCTTCCTCTCCTGTGCTGTCCATCCACCCTTCCAAGCATGATGTCCTTTTCCAAGGACTGATCTCTCCTGGCCATGTGCCCAAAGTAAATGAGGCAGAACATCAAAATCCTAGCCTCCAAGGAGAGACTTGGTTTCACCACCTCCAAGACAGACCTATTTGTTTTCTTGCAGTCCATGGTATGTTCAAGACTCTTCTCCAGCGCCACAACTTGAAGGTTGACAAAAACTTGGCTGACTGACTGGAAGAGATCCATATTTATTCCCATTCCAAAAAAAAGTGACCCGACAGAGTGTGGAAATTATCGACCAATATCACTAATATCACACACTAGCAAAATCCTGCTGAAGATTATCCAGAAAAGACTTAAACAGTACATTGACAGAGAACTACCAGAAATACAAGCTGGGTTTAGAAGAGGCCATGGCACTAGGGACATTACTGCCAATTTCAGATAAATCTTGGCAGAAAGCAGAGAGTACCAAAAAAATTGTCTATCTGTGTTTCACTGACTATGCAAAGGTATTTGACTGTGTGGATCACAATAAATTGTGATTAACCTTGAGGAAAATGGGGATCTCAGAACACTTGATCGTGTTTATATGAAACCTATACTTGGACCAAGAAACAGTCCTCAAAATAAAGCAAGGAAACACGTCATCATTCAAAATCAGGAAAGGAATGCATCAGGGATGCATCCTGTCCCTGTACCTTTTCAATCTGTATGCAGAACAGATCATTCGGAAAGCAGGGCTTTATGAGGAGGAGTATGGCATCGAGATTGGAGGAAGACTCATTAGCAACCTATGATATGCAAATGACACAACCTTGCTTGCTGAAAGTGAAGAAAAGACCTGAAGTACTTGCTGCAGAAGGTCAAGTACTGTAGTCTTCAATATGGATTGAAGCTTAACATCAGGAAGATGAAGATTCTCACCACTGGGCCAATTGGCAACATCATATAAGATGGAGAAGAGATTGAGGTTGTCAGCAATTACAGCTTGCTTGGATCCACAATCAACACTCTTAGCACCAGCAGTCAGGAAATCCAGACAAATTGCACTGGAAAAATCTGCTGTCATGGACCTCTCCAGAGTGCTGAAGAGCAACAATGTCAGTCTAGATACAAAGGTGCAACTAATCCAGGCCATGGTTTTCTCAATTACTTGACATATACTGCGTTGCCATAAATCAGAGTCACTCAACTACTGGTACCAGTATTACACACCAAAGGAGCCCTAAATTTAAGGCTTGTTAAAAACAAAACTCCACTGCTATCATGTTGATTCCATCATAAATAGAAATGGATAGAGAAGAACTGCTCCACGGTATTTCCAAGGCTGTAATCCTTATTGAAAGGAGTTCCGGTGGCCTAGTAGTAAGAAGCTGTGTTACAATCCCGAAGGCTCAAGGTTTCAATTCCCCAGCTGCTCTCCAGGAGAAGGATGGGCAATCTCCTCGAGTGTGATTAACTGTCTCTGAACAGCCACCACAGGATCAGGCATGGGTCAGTTCCAGCTCAACATTTCACAACATAATAATCTTTACTGAAGAAAACTATCTATCATCTATCCATCTATCTTTTTTTTTTTTCACTGAATGGGTCATGAGCTCAAACCACTGAATCTTCAGTTACCAGCAGAGCACATAAACACTGTGCCATCAGGGCTCCTCTCACTTGAGGGCCAGTTGTAGTTAATCTAGCCTCTGTGTTATGAGCTCTGCACTGAAGATGACTCTCTCTCTATGAATCCAGGAGGTGGAAGCCAACATCTTGGTTATGGACAGACATATGGTCCAAGTTAGAAGCCATATGTTTCATTGTGAGACTGACTTGTTTCACTTGGTTTAAAAACACAAATCTATTTATTTTAAAACAATGAGCATGTATGCTTTAACTAGCACTGCATTTAAGAAATTACGTATTTAAACATAACCCGATTTACATACTCTGGTCTTTAGACTTAATTTTAATGTCCCTTTCTAACCCCAATCCCTGTGGCAGAGTTCTTTGGAGGCTGAATCTTTCTAGGACTTGTACACAGCTTTCAAACTTCAACCTGCTCAGACTTGAGTAGTCCCTGTAGCCACTCAGAGCTATTGGCTAGGAGTTGTCCAATGGACTCTCACCAGGACAGTGGCAAGTTATTCACTTTTGAGTCTATTTACCCCTCAGAGGGCTTACAGGAGAAATTCTTGGGTAAGTGGCATAAGCTCCAATTGCATGCTCCATTCTGTTTTCCATTCTAGGGGAGGTGTGTGTATGGACACTTCCATTCTGACTGGAAGGTTCAGACAGTAAGAGCCTCACACATGTGCATATCTTTATGTTTTTACATGGTGCCATATCATCGTTTCAGCTTTTTAGGGCATTTTCTTCATTGACCAAGAGTACTATTTCCTTCAGATTGATCTTTAGCAGGCTCTTTAAGTCTGTTCTATGAAAATTGAAGCTGATCACACGAATGGAATATTATAGGGATCCCTGGTTGCACAGTGCTTAAGCTCTTAACTACTAACCAGTGGGAATAACAAATTGAAATGATGGTGCTACATTAACAGTCAAAAATAACATCTCAAGATCTATCCTGAAATACTTTCAGGAGTGATAAATGGCTTTCCATACACATAGATGGAAAATCTATTAATGCAACTATCACCCAAATACATGTACCAGCCATAAAGCAAAAGATGAAGAAATTGATGATTTCTACCAACTTTTACAGTCTGAAATTGATCAAACATGAAATCAAGATGCATTAATTATAATTGGTGATTGGATTGCTATAAAAGGGGGAGGGCCATGTGGGGACAGCCATATCTGACTTTTATAAATTTCACAAAGGGAAACTGTCCCAGTTCACAGCATCAATAACACGAAACCAATTCCCATGATGTCAGACATGTCCTCCATGGTAACATACCTCTTTCTACTCATCTCAACATCAATCTTACTGCCTTGATGGGTCCAAAATCCAATGTGATAGCTCACCAACAACAAAGAACCATACTGAGAAAGTAAAAATATTATAATCTAGATTAATAACAGAATATAATTAAGACAGCTCATAAATGTGTACACAGGAACACCACCCTTGAGCATTGAAGCCCCAGGCCATGTTTCCAAGTTCTTGGTCCTACTAATATTGGCTTTCCACCTCCAATAGACCAACAAAGGTCTCAGTCCTGTTAATATTGGCTCTTTTTCCTTCCTTAACATCCCATCTCTCATCAGGTCTCCAGCTTGGCCATGTGTTACTGCTGTAGGTATAGTTGGAGCAAGAAAAGCATCCTACATTCTCTTGTTTTCTCTTGTTCAATGGCACCAGAAAATCTATCTCTGTGGCTGGAGCTGTTCAATTTATTCATGAGACTCTCTATCTCCTTGTAGATTGTTGAGACTGGCCAAACCTTTGTGGATAGACTAACACGCCCCATTTATATATTCTTGCCCATCTACATAACAACATAAAATAATGGCTGACAAAAGTCATAGTGAAAGATAAACTTCACAACTGCAAATGTTGGAAACATAAATACTTATAGTTGGAAAATATGGCCTTGGTGACAAAATGACACTAAATATCCCATGGAAGAATTTTGTACAGTGATTTATTAATTGCAAACATTGTTGATGATGATGTGTACCACTGAGTGGAAACCAACCCATAGTTGACCCTCGAGTGGGTTTTCAGAGGTAGATAATTGCACAGGAGAAGATTTGCCATCCTTCTCCCATGGAGCAGCTGGTGGCCTTGAATGGCAATTATACCTATCAACATAACCTGACAGATAACACAGGAATCAGATTGACTACATCTGTGGAAAGAGCCAATGGAAAAGCTCAAAATCAGTAGTTAAAACTAGGCCTGGGGCTAACTATACAACAGACCATCAATTGATCAGGTACAAGTTGAAGTTGAAGGAACTTTATTAAAAGCCCAGGAGAACTAAAATATGACACTAAGTCTATCTTGCTTGAATTGATAAACCATCTTAAAAATAGATTTGTCCTTATAGGAATGAATTCCTTCAATCAGCACAATGCTCTCCAGTACCTCCCAAATTAGGTAATAATTTACAAAATCATTTATTGCTCCTGTGTGCTGTAAAGTATTCAATAT